ATTATTATTATTATTATTATTATTATTATTATTATTATTATTATTATTATTATTATTATTATTATTATTATTATTACACAGGTCTTAGACTTGTGTAAGCAATTAAATATGGCAGAAGAAGAATGGAAATCATTTTATATTCTCTCTGTATCTGTGCTGACAAACACATATGAACACTTTTTTTATCCATCACTGTGAAAGCAATGAAATGTTTCTCTCCCAAATCATTTTATGAACTGAGAAGATTATCTTGTGATAAGATTGAAGCAAGGTGTTGAAAACAAAAGAATTAGCCCATGTGCTCTCTTAGTTTGTTGTAGTTGTCTCTGAAACACCATAAAGAACGTTTTCTTATCTCTTTCTTTTACCTCCTCTCATACAGTTAATTTCAATTTTCTCTTCCCTTCCCTGTACACCTTCCCCTTCCTCTGGAAGAAACTCAATCCCATTTTTGACATTTCTTTGGGAAAGAGGGAAGGAAATCTGGTTCTGTGAGAAAGGTTTATGTTGTTTGGCCTATCGATGTGGAAGTAATTTTATAGTATGGGACATATTATTTTACAGCAGTTCATTCAGTATATTATTAATTCAATTATTATTGTTTGGCAGCTCTATACTGTTTTTAATGCAGACCCTTGCAGGTTCATACATGCATATAAATTTGTGCATGCCCAATTTTGTTGCAGACTCACAATTACTGGGAAGAGAAAGATCTCCTGGATTGTTTGCAGTTGGTGTTGGCAATCATAAACTGAATAAGTAGGAAAGCCATATTGAAGAGGGTTTTTGTCTTTGTTTATATGTATATGTATTTGTCAGTCAAGTTTATTTTCCCTGTTTTGTGAGGCTCAGAGGTTTGTCTTAAATTTAAATTCTTCTTTCTGGTAAATGTGATAATTGCATGAATTTAATTCAGTTCTGGTTTTACCACAAGTAGCTGTCTGTAAACAGAAATGTCTTCCACAGGAGGGAGGGACACATCTTTTCTTTTTACAAAGGAAGCCTGAAGCAAAGAATGCAAAAGTTTAAGCAAATAAGGAAAGAGGATGGTAATAAGACACCATCCTTTTCAGTTTAGGTCTCTGAATTTGAATGTGGTTTATATTGCCAGAAAGCAAAAATTATTACCATATGGATACTATTCCATTGTCCTAGAGGGCATTAAGATGGTCAGCTAGGCAACATCCTAAGAGCACCTAAATGAAATTCTAAAAGGTGCAAAAGTATCATGCTTCTTTTGCAGGGAATGTGAACTCTGTGGTAATATTTTTTTTGGGGGGGGAAGAGACACAGTACTGTACAGTCTTGGTAGGCTAAAATCAATGATGATGATGATGATGATGATGATTTTTATGTGTCACTTTTCTTTCATAAGGTCAGAGTGGCTTATGTAGTGATATCCTCTCATTCTTTCCATTTGACTTTGTGTGGTTGATTTGGCAGAAAATGATTAGCCCTAAGTCATTTATTGAATTTCCATGACTGGGGGGGTCTTTTATCTGGGAAAATCTAATATTTTAATCATGATGCAATATCTTAAGATATTCTGAGGGGTAGTATTATTTCTATCAGAGAAGTCAGTCTCTCCAGAAAGAAAAACTTTTTAAAGGCAACCTAGGAAGTTTCTTACATGACTGTGAACATGCCTGTGGTTCATTTGACTTCATTTATATGCTAAAGTGAACTAGACAATTTTAAGTATTTTTTAAAAGAACAGTTAAGGATAAGCCTTTAATTGGAGCAAGAACATTATATGATAAGTTTTTCTCTAACCCACTCATTCCCCAGATAATAATATATTGTTCCTACCATTTAAAAGAACTTGCTACGGCTGACCAGGATCCTACTCCTATGCCAACATAAAGTATGGAGGCTGAGTTTAGATACAGGATTTATCAACCAGAAGACTGGCAGTTCAAGACCTAAGTACTGTGTGACAGAATGAGATCCCATTACTTGCCCCAGTTCCTAACAACCTAGCAGTTTGAAAGCATGTAAATGCAAGTAGATAAATAGATACTATTTTGGTGGAAAGTTAACAGCATTCCATGCACCTTCAACATATAGTCATGCTGGCCATATGACCACAGAAGCATCTCTGGACAACGTTGGCTGTTCGGAGATGAACATCTCTCCCCTAGATCAGAGATGACTGACAGGGGAACTTTTTACCTTTACTTAATATTTTTCTTAGCCTAGAATATTTGGAATGTGGAAAATTAAGTGTGGTATGATCTTTGTTGTTGTTAAGATACATGTTTAACTAGAGACAGCCGTAGCCAAATGCCTCCCCTCAGTTGTTTTAGAGTAGTAATCCTGTACACTATTGATGTTAATTGATTTTATTTATTAAACATGAGAGTGCCTGATGTTACATCAACAGTTATATTTTAATTATTTTAAACTATATCCTTGAGAGGAATGGGCAGAAAAATATCCTATTTGGCTGTTCAGGCCATTTTGCTCAGCCTTTTGGCAACAAAATTGCTCAGATTCATCAAAGCCTTGATCCTCCTGGCTGAATCTAATGAGGTGACTGGATCATCATTTATTTTTCTTATAATGGACTCTTTTGACCTGTAAATTTTGAGAAGGTGGGATAAAGTGCCGCTTAGGGTGATTCCTACCTCGCCTAACTCTTTTGTAGAGCTAGGGAATATTTTCATTTGGATTAGAAAGGTGGTCAATACATTTTTGCAAATGTAATATTAGGAGTCTTAAAGGAAGTCGTGATGTGCACCTTTTATGAGGCCTTTATAGATCCATCATTGGATGACAAATATTGACAAATCTCAAGCCTTTCTTGGGGAGGCATGTAATACAAATCCAACTTTAAAATATGCTAGAGCAGTGGTCCTCCCTTTCAGCTTTGCAGAACAGTGATGGGGGAGGGGATAGTTCTGAATGGCATGCGTGCATGCAACTCCATTTGCACTATTCTACAATGGTTCTTCTCCTATCTCAAAGAGTATTTTCTGTTAGCGGCCATAAAGGATTACTGGGCAGACTCTTATGTAGTGCACCATTGGGTTCTTAATTTTTGTATGAAACTGATGGGAGAATTCATCTTGGTGGCTCAGGGTGGAATTCCATCAATATACTGATGAAAATCATTCAAATTCAAATTGTTGAATTGCACTTGTTATGATCAAATTATTCCTATCATAGGTTGGTTAACCATAAATTTTCAGGTCACGTTAAAGCAATGTATTCATTTATAAAAGCCTTATATGGTTTGGTACCAAGGAATTCCTGCTGAAATCAATGGAGAGGACATGCCCACTCTATTAGATCGTAGTAAAAGAAATAATCGAAAACGAGTGGTCTTCAATTGTTTGTTCTTGTAAAGCTTTGTAGATAACACCTTGATTTGCCTTGCTCTCCACAAGTGGCAGCTTCTTAATGATCTTCATGGGCAGCACTGTGTACAACACATTACAGTAGATCAAATGGGAAATGACTAAAGTATGAGTAGCCATGAATAGAGCATTCCAATCCAGAAATAGGCACAATTGTCACATAAGCTGGATTTGGCAAATGCCTCCTATCCATGATTGCTGTTTAATCAGGAT